ATTGTTATCATGCTCAAAAATAGATTCACACTCATTTTCAAGTGACACATCAATCATATTAAGCCCTAACAGAGAATAATCCTCATGTGGATGTTTCATCATCTCATACATGTTAAATTGAATTTCTTGTCCACCAAATTCCATTTTTATAATCCCATCCTTCATGCAAATCATGGTGTTGGCAGTTCTTAGAAATGGTCTGCCCAAAATCAATGTGCTTTCACTTATGGCCTCATTAGTCATATCTAACACATAAAAATCAGCAGGAAATACAAGGTCTTTTACTTGAACCAAAATGTCTTCTAAGATTCCCTTGGGATTCCTAATAGACTTATCAGCTAGTTGCACTAAGACACTTGTAGGTTTCATGATTTCAACTCCTAAAGCATAATAAACAGAACTTGGCATCACATTGATAGCAGCACCCAAATCTAGTAAAGCTTTAGAAATATGAAACTTACCAATTTGACAAGGAATGGAGAAAGCTCCTGGATCTTGGCATTTCACAGGTAATTGAGCTTTAAAAAGGGCTGAAACATTAGGGCCAACTTGCACCAATTCATTAGTTTTAAACTTTCTTTTATTAGTGCAAATGTCTTTTAAGAATTTTGCATATTCAGGCACTTTCTTCAACAAATCCAGCAAAGGAATGTTAATTTCTACTTTACTAAAGAAATCTAAAACTTCTTTATTTTGCTTTTCTTTTGCAACCTTCTGCCCAAACATAAAAGCTTTAGGAAAAGGTAGATCTTTCAAGCTTACCTCCTTACCTTGACTTCCCGGTTTATTGCTCTTGTGAGGATCTTCAACTTTCTCTTGCTCAATCTTCCCATTGTCCTGGTTAGGATCTGCAATTCTTGAAGAAGATTGCCTCAAGTCCTCTCTCAATGGTGTTTCATGGACGCCTTTATCATCCATAGTTGAAGGGCCGGCTTCAGTTGTGCAACCTTCAGTAGTTGCACTTCTACATCCGGTTTCTTTTCTTGCTTGCAGAAGTTGCTTCTCTCTTAAGCTTTCAGATTCCACACTTGGTGGTTTCTTTTCATGAGTAGAATTCCCTTTAGTGTAATGATCTTCATCCAAGTCAGATTCTTCATCATTCTCATTGAATGTCACCTTTCTTCCACTTCTCAAACTTATGGCATTCAATGACTTGGGATTAATCACAGTATTGGAAGGCAAAGCTCCACTTGTTTTTGCTTGAAGACTGCTGAAATTATCTGAAATTTGGGTAACAAAGTTAGCCAAGTTTGCTGTCTTAGTTTCCCATTGTTCAACCCTATTCTCTATAGCAGCCATTCTTGCATCAGATGCAGTGGTATGCTTATCAATTCTGTCCATTTGAGATGCCATAGCACTGAAATTAGCATTCATACTGTTCATGCTTTTCAACAAGAGAGACATGTCATCATTCCTTGAATTCCCAACTTCTTGAGTAGTTTGGGAAGGAACCATAACTTGTTCTGAATGTTGACGTTGCTGGAACCTATTCTGCATGAATCTCTCCTTGTTGTTCTCTCCTCCTCCCCATCTAAAATTGGGATGATCCTTCCATCCTTCGTTATAAGTGTTGGAGAAAGGGTTCCTTTGCTGATATTGACCGGCTCTTTGTTGATACATGGCTGACACTTCTTCAAATTGAGAAGGGCAAGATTCAGTACAATGCATCATAGAACCACAGGAGTCACAAGAGGGAGCTACCAAGGCTTGAGATGTTCCCATAGCACCACATTGTTTAGTTGACAAGAGTTGCTCCATCCTAGTCATTCTCTTGTCCATCCTTTCTGATAAGGCAGCAAATTGAGAGTCTAAGTTAGTAGGATTTGACCTTAAAATTTCATTGACAGATTGGTTATCCCTTGTGCTGAATTGCTGATTGTTGTTGGCCATCTTCTCCAATAATTCCCAAGCATTGTGAGGAGTCAAATCAAATAGTGAACCATGGGCTGCAGCATCTATTGTGTTCTTGTGATGAGATAGCAAGCCCTCATAGAAATATTGAACTAGATTAGACTTGCTGATTTGATGATTTGGACATTTAGAAAGCATAGCTAGAAATCTTGTCCAATACTCATACAAGGTCTCTCTACTATCTTGTTGAACTCCATAGATAGCCTTCCTCAATTTAGATGTCCTTGATGCAGGAAAGTACTTCTCTAAAAAGGCCTTCTTAAGTTGCTCCCATGTAAGTGTTGTGAAGTGCTGAGGTAGACTTTGCAACCATTCTTTGGCATTTCCTTCTAATGTGAAGTGGAAAGCTCTCCTTAGCACATCTTCCAATTGAGCACCATGGGGCTTCATAGAGGAACAAACCGCATGCATATTCTGAAGGTGTCTATATGGATCATCCCCTGCAAGACCAAGGAATCTTGGTAAGGCATTAATCAAAGTACCTTTAAGTTCAAAATCAGCTTCAAAGTTATAAAAACCACATGGATCACAGTTCACACTTGAGTTATTAATTTCTCTAATGCTCCTATTCTCCTCATCTCTATTCAATTGAATATTAGCATTATGGAGAACATTTTCAGCTTGCCTTTCATTTTGAGGTCTATTTGTAGCATCACCTCTCTCAGTTTGGGCATTGTTATTATTTTGATCCATCACAAAATGATTGTCTATAAACCCTCCTAAAGTAGATTCAGATTCTGAGGAAGAACAAGATTCAACTTGAGGAAGAGAGTCACTCACTATAGGTTGCTTACTAGACTCAGCTATTTGTTTGGTTTTCTTGATTTGCCTAAGAGTTCTATTGATTTCCCAATCAAAAGGTAAAAGACCTTTATCCTGGACATGCAACTAAAGAACACTAGAATAGACTAATAAAATAAATGTGAAAAAGCAATTAGACAAAGACAGAAGTCAAAAGAGAACAAAAGCTAAGAAGGGATCAGGTGAAATCCGCCGCGCGGCCTCTGGTGCAATCCGCCGCGGCTCTTTTTGGTTTTGCAGGATTGATTCTGTGAAATCCGCCGCGGCGCCTGGTACTGATAAACCAGATGGACGAATTCTGCAGCAGCTTCTGACACTGTTCACACCTTCACTCCTGCAAATTAAACCCCTTAACACAATGGTATTAGTTTGTCAACAAGAAAAAATATCTCAAAAGCATAAAAACAACCAACCATCATTAGGTTAAATGGAAGAACAATTAAAGGGAAAAGGTTGCTACAGCAAGGATTCAAACAATTCACACAGCCTACTCAATTGTGTTAACTCCTTGACAACCTATGGAATGAATTTAAAACACAGCAAAAAGGGAAACTACTTAACAACAAAGCAAAAAGTGAACATGCAGCACAACTCAAAAACACTAAAGCTACTTTTTCTGAAGTTTTGGGTTTTCAAACATGAAAATTTTCTTGGCACACCAGTGAATTGCTCAGAACCTCAACAAGTAAGGCTCCCCGGCAACGGCGCCAATTTGATAATCAAACTTGTCGCTAGGTAATCAAAGTTTTACTAGGGAAAATGCAGCAAGTGAGGCACTACCTAGGTCATTCTTCACAAGGAGCCTTAAGTTGTATTTCAATTCTTAACAATTCACTATTAATTATCAAATTACCAAGATGAGAGCTTTAGTTCAGAAAAAGAGAAATCAAAACAAGAAACAAATCTAATGAAAGGTAAATTGCAAATGAGATTCAGATGAGAGATAGTAGTTCCCCTAGCAATTTATCCAACCTTCCTTGTTCAATCTTATAATTTGGAGTCTCTTAGTGTCAATTAAATGGATAGATTCAGCTACTGCTCAAATCTCTCTTAACATAGATCAGAAACAACTATCTTACTAGATTCATTATTTTGATCTATGAGAAGGAAAATCAATTGACAAGAACACTTGAGAAGCAAGTTGCAATTCTCTAAGAATGACCACAACTGTGAATCATCAATATATTCAACCAAAATTCAGATTTACAGAACAACAGTCCAAGTAAAACGAATTGGATTTACAAATCAACAGAGAATCCTCCATTCAACTGAACTAAAGGACACAACTCACATCTGAATGTTCAATCAGATCTAAATTCCAAGAAACATAAATCTAATCACTCAATCTTCATTCTAATCACAATTGTTCAACTGAAACAAATGACTCTTAGAATAGAAGGTAGGAAATAGATCTGAAATGACTCCCTGTTTAGCTCCATGAACTCAGGTCAGCTTCATTGCTAGAAGAACTTGGAAATTCAGCTACTCATACTCTGGATTAGGGTAGTAGAAACAGCAAGAATTGATGAAAGATCCATGGTTGATCGGTGGAAATTGATGGAATTGGACGAAAATGGAAGAGAGAAATGAGAGAGGGCGGAGAGAGCAAGAAAATCGCGTTGGAGGGAGAGTGAGCAACTGAAATCTGATCCTACAATTGAAGCGCGCGACTTCAGCTTTTAAATCTGGAAATTTCGGTCATCCGCCGCGGCTCCTCCGTCAATCCGCCGCGGCTCCTGTCCTGTACGGTGTCGTTTTGATTAATGATCCTGAGCTTCATGAAAACCTCCGTCCGCCGTGGCGCCTTAGTCCATCCGCCGCGGCGCTTTTCACCGAGAGTACCTTAGAAATCCGCCGTGGCGCCTCCGTCAATCCGCCGCGGCGCCTCAGACAGAATGGCGAAAATGCTACTGAAACTTCCTGAATTCATGCCAAAGCAGGGATCAAAAGTACACACAAATAAAATCATATAAAAACATGTAAAAACACTTGCAAAACCTCATAATTCTTCTCACCAACTCTTATACACAATGGAACCTAATTATGCCCAAAGTATGTAAATATAGATCGCAAAAGTATGTGTTTAGGGCTAGAAATGTATGTAAATAATGAGACTTATCAGAGTGTCCACCCCATATTGTCCTCAAATAAACGGCCTAGTTGAGGTGTCGAATTGAGAGATTAAATGCATCCTAGAATGTATTATTAAGCCCTCCAACAGAGATTGGAGCTTGAGACTAGACGATACACTGTGGGCCTACCGCACCACCCACAAGACCCTAATTGGTATGTCTCCATATCAGATCATCTATGGTAAGTCCTGTCACATTCCGGTAGAGCTAGATCATCGATCATACGGGGCGGTTAAGAACTGCAACACCCATTTGGAGGAAGCTGGACTGAGCCAACTCCTTCAAATTCAAGAACTTAAAGAAATATGGTTGGATGCCTACAACAACTCAGACATCTACAAGCAGAAAACCAAGCTTGTTCACGATACCAACGTCTTGAGAAAGCAGTTTAAGGAGGGTGATAAAGTGTTGAGGTATTAAGTTTGATTCAAATTCAAGAAGGGTAAGTTCAAGATGAGCTAGGATAGACCCTATATTGTGACAAAAGTGCATAACTTCAAGATGATAGAGCTTAAGGAGGAGGCCAAAGGCAAAATGTTTCAGTACAACAGTCATCTCCTCAAGCTCTACAAAGAGCCCGCTCTGCCTTTTTAAGGCCAGGTCATCCTTTTCCTTTACCTCTTACTATTCACATGAAGTTACCTGTGCTTAAGTTATCTTGCTGTAACTGTTTGAGTTTGTGAAAGGGATGTCCTCAGTAGAAATAGTTTTAAATTCTATTGCTTTGTTTGTTTTGAATAATCTCCCTTGGTCTCGAGTTTTATATGATTGTTTTTGTGCTTCTCTTCTTTCACCACTACACACTTTTTTGCATTCTTGAGTTTCCCCACCTTTACACTTAGCTCTTTTCTCTTCTCTAGAAGAGTGATGTGTTGCGCTTCAGTCTTGAACTAAACTTCACAACTTCCACCTTCATTGTTTTGTGTTTAGGTTTTGTGTTTTGGTGTGACTGTGTGCCGTAATGTGGATATTGCTTTGAGTGTGTGGGGGAGGCTGTTTTAAAAGTGGTTTTATGCTTTGTTTGTTGCTAAGATTTACCATAATTTTTCAAAATTTTTGAAACTTTTAAAGTTTTTCCCTAATCTTCCATCACTTGTTTTGAAGTTTTGTGTTGAATTGTTAAAAATCTGGTGATGGATTACTCAGTTGGGTTGTTTTGGTAGGGATCTTGGTAAGTGGTTTTGGTTTAAGGACTTAGATTTGAAGTTTTTCAAGGTTTAGAGTGTTAGAAGCCTATCTGTGACCCTAGGTCGTGACCTAGCTGCTTTCAAGTCACTACCTGGAGGTTAGTCTGAGAAGAGGAGCTCTCTGTGCGTTGAAGTTACGACCTCGATATCTCAGGTCGTGACTTGGGAAAGACAATGGGTAAAGGCTCTCTTTAGTTGAGGTTGCAACCTCACTGGTTCCAGGTCGAGACTTGGAGCCTTTCTGAAACCCTAAATTTCCCCCCTTTCTACTGAAGTTGCAACCTCACTTACCTCAGGTCACGACCTGACATGAAAAGTCAAGATTTTTTCTTTGAGTTCACCATTTTACCCTTACTTATTTCCACCTTAATTACTATTTTGCTGTTGAATGTACCCTGGATTCAAGCTATATTCATTCTAAGGACCCAAAACCCTAATCTTTCTTTGTAAAACCACATAGAACTCTCCCTTTTGATTCTTCCTTCGCGCACAATCACTCTCCATCATTCCCCACGGCTATTCCTCTTCCTAAAGTCGCGACCTTCCTTCTCCTTCTATAACTGTCCTTCTTTTCAGTTTCCTCAAGTGAAACTACTCCTTTATTTCAAAAACCTATCTCTTCTCCATTACCTTATCTCCCTTAACACCAATCTGCTCTCCTGCATTTGCTGTTGCTTTCTTGCCTTCAGAATTCATCCCTTGTAATCTGCATTTTAAGCCATTCTTTAGTGAACTCTATTTTTCCTGCCGCTCTTTAAAGGTTTGCTCTGTTTTTTCTTTTTATTCTTTCTAGTTTAGTTTAGTTCTGTGTTTTCTAGGGTTTAGGTTTCTAGAGTTTTGATTTTGATTGAGTAGAGTTTGTGTTGGTTGTTTAATCTTCTATTTAACTGGTTTTTAAACTGCTTGGGATTACATTTTTGTAAAAGATTTGGTTTTTAAACAAATTGGTTCGTGCTGCGTTTTCTGAACTTTCTGGGTTCAGGTCGCGACCTCAAACTTTTCTGAATTCAAAATTTTCCCTCTGTTTGATCAAGTCATGACCTCACTGTTTCCAGGTCGCAACCTGAGCTCACAAAGGAGGTTTTAAACCTCTGATTCACCCCTGTTGCTTCCAAACTGCAATTTCTAAATGGATTTTTACTTTACATATTAAAGATTTGCAGGAAATTGATTTTGGGCAATTGAAAATTTTAAATGATTGAGCTTTCTCATGATTTTCCCAATGGTTTTAAAATGCAAGTTTCCCAATTCAAAATCTTTAACAGTTTTGCTTCAGTGAGTCTGGCAAGGGATAGCCTTTTGCTAGTGTGGGGAGTGCTTGGTTCCTAGGCTTAGTGTAGTTTTTAGTTTCTTTTCTAGGGTTGTTTGTTTTGTGTGTTTACTTTCGTTGTTTGTGTGTTTGTTTTGTAGTCAGATACCTTTCACTAAGAACCCCAAGTCCTTAAGCTCGAAAAGGCTTCACCCTCGTGACAAGACCAGACTTTCAAGGAAAGAAGCCATAGAATTGTTTGCCAACAGAGGGGTGGTTCAAGAGCAGTATTTTCTAGAAACCAAGCAGTACAAATTTTATAAGCTTGCTAAGAAGAGAGGCCTTGAGGAACTTATGAAGAAGGGAAACAAGGCCAACTTGACTGTGATGAGAGAGTTCTATGCTTGATCTTTGATGGACAGATATAGGAGGATCACTTTCAAAGGCAATGAATGTTTTTTAACCCGGGAGTCTATTGAGAAGTTCTACAACTTGCCCGATGTCCCTGTTTAGGAGTATCAGTGATGGAAGACCAGACTTACTAAAGTTCCCGGGGAAGAGGTTTTCCAAACTATCGGGATAGAGGGAGCTGGGTAGACTATAAAGGAAAGTGGGCGGAAAGTCTTTGATTACAAGCACAAGAATGATGAAGCTAGGATTTGGCTAAACTTCATGGTTTATAACATAATGCCATCAGCCCACATTTTTTATGTTTCTGAAGATGGCGCACTCCTTCTACATCTCCTAATGACCATGCAGCCAGTTGACATTCCCATTATTGCCTTGGACCAGATTGATCGCTGTGTCAATAATGTCTAAACTCTTATCATTTTTTCGCACTTGATTACTGATATGTGTACAGCACACGGGATACTGGCGCACAAGTTTGGCTCTCTCTTGGACCCTATCATGACTAGGTGCTATGCCGACTCCAAAACCAATAGAGAGAGGAAGATAGGGAAAAGGGTGATAGGGGAAGGTTCAGAAAAGGAGGCAGATGAGGGTGGCTCTAGTTTCAACTTTGCCTCCTTGAGTGATCAGATTATCGAGCTCAGTTAGCAAGTGACGAATTTGAGTAAGGAGTTCGATGCTTACAAAGCTATTTCCATGTCACATAAGTTCAGAAGACAGATTTATGGATCCTTTGATGTTAAAGATGGCCAAGGCTTTCAAGGTCAACTTTCCTGAAGAGTATGAACAGGCCTTCTGGGAGAACACCATTCCTACCACCACTTACTTTAGTGAGGGTCCAGGGAAATCTTCTGGTGTTGCTATTGCTGATCCTACTGATACTGAGATGGGAGAAGCTAATGTCCAAGTAGGGGAAGATGTCAGGGTAAAAGAGGAAAGAAGAGCGGAGGAGGATTGAAAGCTTTACTATTGGAAGTCTTTTGTTTTTTGTTTTGTTTTTGTGTTTTTCTTTTTATTCTGTTGCTCTTTCCTGTGAACTCAGTACTTAAAAGTTTCACCTTGATGTATGGTTAGTTTACTATGTTCTATTGTGGTTGCTGCTGTTCTTTTCCCTTCCCCTTTTGATAGTAGGAACACTGTCAAATTTAAGTGTGGGGGAAGATTTCATTTCGCTTTGTTGTTTCCCATTATTGCTTCATTTTTGTGATTGTTGCTAAATTGGCAAATTTTTTTTGAAAATTGAATCTTTCATCATCATTATTTGGCTTTGAATTGGTTATGGATGATGAATTGCTGTGAATTGGATCATTTTTGTCTGTTTTGATGCTCGTTGAAAGGGTTTTTACTTGTTAAATGTTGGCCAAGCTTTGAAAAAATTTTGTTGGTAGTTTCTGTAACCTCAGGTCATGACCTTATTGCTTCAGGTTGTGACTTAAGGAGTGACTTTGGCACAGGAGGGCTCTCTGCAATTTCAGGTCACGACCTCACTCATTTCAAGTCGCGACCTGGACTCATTTACTATGCACCACTTTCCTTCTCTTTGCATTTTGCACTACTGTGTAGGAGGAACCTTTTTAAGCTATCTTTGTATCTTTTTCAATCAAACCATTGCCTTGTTAATCTACCCTTATTGCGTTAAATAGTTTTCTTGAAAAAGATGCCATCCTTGGACTTTTAAGAACACTGGATTTTGAAAATGATTTTTCTAAGACTTTATAGGTACTGTTGAGGTCCAAGTATGTTCTTAAGCAATTATTTTGATCTTTTTAATCATCATCCTAGGGGTTGCTTTTGTGATAAGTGTCCTAATGCTTCGTGACTAATGCATATTGATTGAAACTTCTTATATGAGCAATTGAGATTTAAACCCTTATTGGAAGGATATTCTTTAGCCTTAATTCGTATATTGAGTAATTATTCATGTGGTTTACATCCTCTAGAACTTGTTTTAGCTCTTAGTCAAAATTACGTATGCATTTATGATGTTGAATATAATAGAGGCATTCTTTTATATGCCTCTTTACCCAAACACAAGCCACAACCATCTATCCATTGCTTAACCCTTTTGATCTTGCACTCCTTTCATTCTGTCCATCATTTCGAGTGTTTGAACTATGATATTGTTTGAGTTGACTTCATCTTGACAAATATGACTTTCTGACCTTCCTGGACTTTTATTTCAATTTTGAAAAAAAGAAAGAAAGAAAGTAGAAGAAAAAGAAAATTAGAAGGAAGGAAAGTTTTGGGGAAAAAAAAAAGAACAAAAAGAGTAAAGAAATACTTTTTATATACATAAATTATAGCAACGAAATAAAGTTGAATAAAGTATTCCCGTAGTGGTAGAAAGTTAAGATTTGGACTTTCTTGTTTAAGATTTGATGATATTGACTCACCTTTCCTTAATTCTTGACACTTGATTTCACCATTTTCTATTCTATTTAGCCTTTCCATCACTACAACCTTAAAAGTTTTCTTGATTCTTTACATGAATACTGAATAGTAATGGAGATTTTAGAGTTATTGCAAGCCTATGGTAGAATATTTGCTGCTTGGATGTTTGAGAGAAAAGAACCCCAATGAGGGGAGATGAGTGAATTAAACACTTATACCCTGTGAGCAAATCTCTGCTGTTCATGCATTTAGAGTCAATTACACCTTGTATCTAATTACCTGGCATTATTCATGTTATCATTCTTGCCTCCCTAAAAGATGTTGATTGATTAGTTCTTGAGATCACTTTTAAACATGCTAGTTTTCTTAATTGTAATTGTACTTTCTTTAGAATGATTTAAGTCTTTGTCCAGGAGTACAAAGATTCAATTGTAGGGGAGTGATAGAACCCAATCTTTATATGGTTTTCTCAAGTGTTTTCTAATGTTTTGCAATGCTTTTACCCTTATTATGTATGCATTTGTATCCATTTGATTACATTGACTCATACATTACATTTTGTTGTCTAAGGGATAAAAAGGCTCATTTTTCTCTCCTAAATTTTAATTGCCTTGATCTGTAATCAGTTGTCTTTACAAAACTCTTTGTTGTGATTTTCAGCAATTAGAGAAGGACCCAAGAACCAAGATGAAACATGGATGGAGCCACAATGTTACAAGGACCAAAACATAAGAGTTTAGAGTGTTCTGCCTCCCCAAGTCATGACATGGACTTATGAGGTTACGACCTGGATTCCTTTTTAATGAAACTACACGTTTTGGACCTGAGTCAAGATAAAAGCTCTCTATCTTCCCAAGTTGCAACATGACACTCTTGAGGTTGCGATCTGAGCCCCTTAAGTCACAACTTGACATTCCTGAGGTCGCGACTTGAGTGCGTTAAGTGAAGCTGTGCGTTTTGAAATAGGTTTCTGAGCTTCTACACTTAAAGGGGGTAGCCACCACGAAAAAGGGACTCTTCCATTCTACAAATTTGTATAGGGTTGAGCCACTATCATCTCCTCTCAAGTCTCTATTGATCCTACACCCAAAACTTTCATTTTTCTTTATCTCTTCATCATTTTCTGCGTTTCTAAACCGATTAAACCATTTCAAACACCTTCTTCTCTATTTTTCCAACCCTATTTTTAGCATCAACCATGGCTGTTCATTCCTGGAGTGATTGCAATTGGTTTGAAAGCATAAGAGGCTAAACCCTTAGCCTCTTGGTGATGGAGGACGAAGCTTGAGCTCAAGGACTTAATAGGGGAGCTTTTCTATAGTCTAAACCTGTGTTGAATGTTGTGTTGAATATTTCTAGATTTAGAAACTTTCTGCACTTGTATCAGACTAGGTTTATGATTGTAAATCTTGTGTTTAGACTATTTTATTGTATTTGGATTGGATGATGTTAATGTTCATTGATCTATATAATATTTCAATTTGAATCTTTGTGTTTAGTTTGATTGTCAGTGATTATTGTTGATTAATTTGTGTGCTTGTTATTCTATGTTTGTCGATTGACATTTCGAGGACATTTGCATCATCCTTTTGTTTACACTGTTAGTGGTTTTCAACAATATTTTAGGAGATGTTAATTAACTTTGATTAAAGTGAGTTTTTGTTAATTAAGACATTGGACCCAAGTGATTACTTGGGGTTTTCTTCAAACTTAGAGATTTTCTAAAACTCTCAAATCATTTTAAAGAACAGTGATAGCTGAGTTTTCATCATCAAGAGACTATTTAATCATAATTCCCTTTTAATCCAAAACATTTCTTCATTCATTTAAAATATCAAAAACATTTAATTCTCTACACTTTTCATTTATTGCACCACCTTAAATAGTTGAAACCCCCTTTTCTTCACCTAAATTTAAATGCTTTTGATAACTAATCTAGACTAGGATTTCCAATAATAAGCTCCTTGAGAAGAACGACTGGTTGCATCCCATACTGCATTTTTCTGGTGCAATTCACTTTCTTGACAATCCAACTCGATCACTCGTCTTCTCCTTTGTGTCTAGTTGTTTATTACTTCTTATTTTCTCTTTATCATTATGGTGTCATCTAGCCATATGTGTTAGATTTAAGGTTTTGATGATAACAAATTGGGTAATCTGTGTTTCAGTAAGTTGATTGATCACCTGATCGATCAAGGGTTTATCGATCACTTGTTAGATAAATTCCCTGTGTAAACGAGTAACTTAGCAGAAATGTTTATCGATAACTTGATAGATAAATCAGTTTATATGTGTATATTGATCAATTAATCAATCATTGTTAACAATGTTTTGTATAGAAGACTACAGAAAATTATCGATCAATTTATCAATAATCTAATGATCGAACAACTGTCAGATAATGGACACAATTTTAGTAAGTGTTTATCGATTACTTGATCAATAAATAGGTCATTGATGAAAAGACAGATAAATGGTAAAGCTCTTCTACTTAAGTTATATTGTTTCTTTCTTCATTTATCGATCACTTTACCGATCAAAGATTTTTTAATAACCTGATCGAACATTGTTTAATAACCCACTCGATATGCCTCTATTCAAGGTTG